GCAAGTCCTGGTTCCCGTGGGAGGGTATGAGTGGCTTCCTTGAAAAATTCAGTGGGCTTCTAGAGAACTGAACGCTGCTCCCCCAAAACCAATAGGCTCTATGTCTGGTCCCTGTGATGAGAAGGGTGTTTGGTTAAGAGACCTCCCCTGTGACAGAGAGGGAGAGGAGAACGTGCATGATGCCATTTGAGTCCCTCCTTGATCTTCCAGGTGTCAAGACAGCCCTTAATACAGAATCTTAATTTCAGGCCTTATGCCACAAGAGTGTACAACAAAGTGATTCTTACCTTATGTAAAGGTAAGTTGTATTCCTCTATGCTAGCAATGAATATGTGGGCTCCACAATCAAACACACATTCACAATTTCTTGTACAAAGAAACTACTTCGGGATAAATCTAACAGTGCATGTCCAGACATCACATGCTGAAATCTATTTAGCAATGATACAGGAAATCGAAGATATAAATACATGGAGAGATACACCATGTTCGTGATTTGGAAGACTAAGCGTTGTAAAGATGTCGATTCTCCCCAGACTGATAGAGTTAATGCCGTTCCTTTCAAAGTCCTGTCAGCCTTGTTTGTTTTTGTTGAGATAGACAAAAATATTCCAAAATGTATGTGGAAGGACAAAGGCATTAGCTTCAAAAACAATTTTGAAAATAATACTAATGTGGGAACACAGTCTACGGAGATTCAGAACTTATTAGTAGTTATAATAAGGAAGACTGTGTGGTATTTGCAGGACAGACACATAGAACAGAGCAGAACGAAGAACCCAGGAATAGTCCCCACAAATAAGCCCAACTGCATTTTGAAAAAGGCGCTAAAGCAACTCCATGGGAGAAGGCTGGGTTTTGTACTGCCTACAGCCTTCTAAAGCTTGTGATGAAGTCAGAGAGGACAAACTCAGCAAACAGAAAAACTCAGTAGAGCAAACAGACAAACTCAGAAAACAGCAGCAGCAGAGAAGGAGGATGGTGGTGTGACCCAGGCCGTCCGAGGTTGGAATGGGGAAGGAGAGAGAGTGTGCTCCCGGGGTTGTGTGGGCGGGGCCCAAACAGCTATCCCGTGATGCTTTGCGAAGGCCGAGGGAGCGGGGAAACTGTCCAGTCAGCGTGTGGGCACAGGCGCCAATGAGCAGGAAGGCTGTTGGGACAGCTGACGTGGGCGGGTCACCGAGATGCCTAGGCTGAGCGCGGGGCGACCAGCTTCCATTTTCCAGCCTTCTGTGAGGCTTGCTTCTTGCCTGGCATCTGAAGATCCCGCTTCCTTGCCCCGGTGGGTGCAGAACCTCCAGACCCATGACCACTGGCCGGAGGGCGCCCTTTTTCGCCTCCTGTACTTCCTCCTCAAGGTCAACGCAAAGGATGAGGGAGTGAGCGGCCCCTGGGATGATGCTTCTCTGCGCAGAGGTACCTGTGGGGCATGATGTCAGGACCCCGTGTCCCTGGGGGGCTGGGGCTTTGCTGGGAGGCAGCCTGTGTCTCAGGAATACACTGGATTGCCAAAAGGTATCTGTCAGCTCCTCCGCCCCTCGTTTCGCACCTGTGAGGAGCCCGGAGCAGGGCTTCATTTATGGAGCTGCTAATTATCTCACGTGTGTTGTGAGAAAGGGGAAGAGGGAATGTGGCCTGAACCAGGCACATGGGCTTTCGGCCTTCTTGGGGCTCAAGTCCTGCTGAAAGACCGACGTGAAGCAAGTCAGTGTAGTGTTGATGGGGGAGAAGTTCCGGTTCCCCCTCTTGAAGAGTTACATTCCACTAGGGGTTGTCAGGGTCCCCACTGTGCCCCTGAGATAGGGCCAATCAGGTGTGTGTGTGTAGGGGGAATGGCCTTCCTTTTGGGTGGGTGGTGGGCATTAAGTGACTGGAAAGCATGATCAATAGGACTGACAGGATGTGTGAGGGGCTCACCACCTGGTTGGAAAAGACATGAAGGAAATAATGACCCGTGAAATTCATCATTACTGTTTTGCATTGAGTGCTGAGAAATACAGTGTGCGTTAGAGTTTGTCCTTTACTGGGTAGTGTTTAAGCTGAGACCAGAAAGCTAAGAAATAAAGGCGGATGTGGGAAGGTGTTCAGTTAGAGCAGGGAAGGATGTGTACTGTTACAGGAACTGAGAGAATGTCCTTGAAGCTGGGGCCACGTGGGGACTGTAGGGTGGGGAAAACCAAGGTTTGGGGTGAAGACTTGGACTTTTTGTAGGTTCTTGGAGACTAATCATAGTGATTTAAAACATGATGTCCAGACCCAAGCTGATCCTAGCTCTGCCTCTTACGAGCCGTGTTACTAAACCATTGTAGGTCTCAGTTTCCTGATGGGAGAAATGGGGGTTATAATAATCCCACTTCATAGATGATTGTAAAGATGAAGTGATATTTAACGTTAATAAAACACTCAGAGCCATGTCTGACATGTAGTAGGTGTCGGTGGTTGATTCAAGAAATAAATAGGGGCGCCTGGGGGGCTCAGTGGGTTAAAGCCTCTGCCTTCGGTTCAGGTCATGATCCCAGGGTCCTGGGATCCAGCCCCACATTGGGCTCTCTGCTCAGCAGGAGCCTGCTTCCCCCTCTCTCTCTGCCTGCCTCTGCCTACTTGTGATCTCTCTCTGTCAAATAAATAAATAAATAAAATCTTTAAAAAGTTAAAAAAAATACATACATAGATAAGTTTTGAAGACCCGGAGGCAGTCTGTGGTGACATTTGTGAACTTAAATGGATTCTACTGAACTTCATTTCTTCTCCAGCTTTCAGGTGCTGTTGACCACACTGTGTCAATTCAACATGCTGTTGAATTAGAAGTAATTTTTCTCATATCGACAGTTATTTGCCAAGAGAATCCGAAGTGCCATTGAAATGATGAGAGGGAAATACAATGCTTTTCAGTAGCATATCACAATTAGGTGTATTTAAAATTTCCTGATGAATTGATTTATTTAGTATTTGTTGGTAACACTTTGTGCAAACTAACTTAACGTAAATTGACTGTAGAGTAATTCAGACTCAGAATAAGGACAGAGAGGTAGTAGAACTAGAGCTTTGGCTTTCCTTGACTCTCTGTGGTATAGCTTTTATAGTTTCTCTGTTCTTCTCTGTTTCCAATGCCTTCCTGTGTCTGCTGCCTAAGCGTCGTAGGGGAAGTTTGGGTTTAGAATTGGAGAGACTAAATCGTTGTACCCAACCCAAAGTGCAAATCAGCAAAGCTCGAAGGACTTTTTTTTTTTTTTAAAGATATTCATTTGTTTGTTTGAGGAACAGAGTGAGAAACAGAACAGGAGCTGGGGAGAGGACCAGAGGGAGAAACCGAGTCTCTGCTGAGAGGGGAGCCTGATGTGGGTCTTATTCCAGGGACTCCAGGATCATGAGCTGAGCCGAAGGCAGGTGCTTACCTCACTGAGCCAGCCTGGCACCCAGCCTGTGGGGCTTTTTAAAAGAAAAGACAGATGCTTACGTCCTACTCTAGACTCACCGAGTCAGAGCCGTGTGGGATAGGCCCCAGGGTACAAGGACCAAGCATGTTTGCCATCTGGATGTGTTTCATGACAGCTTTTTCGGCACTGGGCTTTCTGTCATCTGAAGAATCATGCAGTGAGATTGGGAGGACCCATAAATTAACGTTTGATGACATTTAGCAGGGCTCTGTCCTTCAGGGTCTGGGATATCGTGATCTGCATGTTTGGTGAGGTGTGTTACACCCTTAGCTCTTGTCAGAAAGTTATGGATTCTTTTTTCTTTTGATTTGTTTATAAATTTTATGTATTTAACAGAGAGCGAGCCAGAGAGCANCTACTGAACTTCATTTCTTCTCCAGCTTTCAGGTGCTGTTGACCACACTGTCAATTCAACACGCTGTTGAATTAGAAGTAATTTTTCTCATATCGACAGTTATTTGCCAAGAGAATCCAAAGTGCCATTGAAATGATGAGAGGGAAATACAATGCTTTTCAGTAGCATATCACAATTAGGTGTATTTAAAATTCCCTGATGAATTGATTTATTTAGTATTTGTTGGTAACACTTTGTGCAAACTTGCTTACTTAACGTAAATTGACTGTAGAGTAATTCAGACTCAGAATAAGGACAGAGAGGTAGTAGAACTAGAGCTTTGGCTTTCCTTGACTCTCTATGGGATAGCTTTTACAGTTTCTCTGTTCTTCTCTGTTTCCAATGCCTTCCTGTATCTGCTGCCTAAGCGTCGTAGGGGAAGTTTGGGTTTAGAATTGGAGAGACTAAATCGTTGTACCCAACCCAAAGTGCAAATCAGCAAAGCTCGAAGGACTTTTTTTTTTAAGATATTCATTTGTTTGTTTGAGGAACAGAGTGAGAAACAGAACAGGAGTTGGGGAGAGGACCAGAGGGAGAAACCGAGTCTCTGCTGAGAGGGGAGCCTGATGTGGGTCTTATTCCAGGGACTCCAGGATCATGAGCTGAGCCGAAGGCAGGTGCTTACCTCACTGAGCCAGCCTGGCACCCAGCCTGTGGGGCTTTTTAAAAGAAAAGACAGATGCTTACATCCTACTCTAGACTCACCGAGTCAGAGCCGTGTGGGATAGGCCCCAGGGTACAAGGACCAAGCATGTTTGCCATCTGGATGTGTTTCATGACAGCTTTTTCGGCACTGGGCTTTCTGTCATCTGAAGAATCATGCAGCGAGATTGGGAGGACCCATAAATTAACGTTTGATGACATTTAGCAGGGCTCTGTCCTTCAGGGTCTGGGATATCGTGATCTGCATGTTTGGTGAGGTGTGTTACACCCTTAGCTCTTGTCAGAAAGTTATGGATTATTTTTTCTTTTGTTTATAAATTTTATGTATTTAACAGAGAGCGAGCCAGAGAGCANTTTGTTTATAAATTTTATGTATTTAACAGAGAGCGAGCCAGAGAGCATAAGCAGGGGGAACGGCGGAGGGCGAGGGAGGAGCAGGGAGCCCAACAAGAGGCCAGATCCCAGGACCCTGAGATCAGGACCTGAGCTGCTACCAAGAGTCAGATGTTTTGCCAAACTGAGCCACCCAAGCGCCCTTACAGGACCTGATGCCTTAGGAAAATAAATTGCAAGGGTAAAGAAAGAGGAGGGAGAAAGTGAGGCCTGTAATTAAAAGAGGCTTGAGAGACCTGTTAACCAATTGCAAGGTATGGGTCTTATTCTCACTCATGATTTAACAAATACATAGAGTCAAGATATTTATGAGATAATCAGCTAAATTTGTTTTTTTTTTAAGATTTTATTTATTTAGAGAGCGATCACAAGTAGGCAGAAGGGCAGGCAGAGAGAGAGGAGGAAGCAGGTGCCCCGCTGCACAGGGAGCCCGACGCGGGGCTCGATCCAAGGACCCTGGGATCATGACATGAGCTAAGGGCAGAGGCTTTAACCCACTGAGCCCCCAGGCACCCCAATCAGCTAGATTTGAACTGTGACTTGACATGTCATGATATTGAGAAATTATTTTGAAATGTTTAAAGAGTGAGGATAGTTTTGTGGGTATATCTATGTGTGTGTCCATCAAGGGCAGTTTTGCTCCCTAGGAGATGTTTGGCAACATCTAGGACATATTCGGTGGTCATAAGCACGAGTGAGGAAGAGGCTCTCCGCATCTCATGTATGGAGACCAGGGGTGCTGCTAAGCATCGTAGTATGCTCAGGACAGCGCCCTCAGCAAGGAATGATGGGGCGCAAGATGTGGGTCATGCCAAGGTTGTGAAAGCCTGTTCTGGAGACCGGTGTTGATGTAGCCATGGGTCCAATGATCGGATGAAGATATTTGTTTCAAAATGTCATGGGGGCTGTGGGGATGGGCTATGAGTTGAGAATTATTTAAGTTAGTGATGGGAGTTCCTTATACCATTCTCTCTACTTGTGTGTATATGTATCTATCTGTATGTTTATATCGTGTGTGTGTGTGTGTGTGTGTGTGTGTGTGCAGTATGTGTGTATATTATATACAATTGTATATTTCCAAAACAAAAGCTCACAAGCTTGCTACGGGTGATGTAGAGTCTGTGTTCACGTGGCGTCTGGTGCCAGCAGGTGGGGAGGGTGGACAAGCTGAGACGGTGGGTTCGCAGGAGCGGCAGCAGTGGCGTCCTTAGCAGGCTCAGTCTGCAGTGGAATGTTGGTGGTGTCTGGCTGTCGAGCTTCTCTGTATCCCTGTTTTTTTTTTTTTTTTCATTTTTTTGTCTTGTTCTTTGGCCTTCCTAATAGCCTTTCAATAAATTCTTTTTCTATTAAATTCAGTCAGAATCAGTTTCTGTGAAGCAAGAATTCTGACTTACACAAGAAAAGGGTGAAGCTGATGTATAGAGAAAAGGTGATCTGACAGACTGTGGGAGGAGAGAGAGGAATTAGGAGAAAGAGATATATAAAAAATATATGTTCATTTATATATCTAACAACTAAAATTTACAGAGTGTGTATATAGATAGATAGATAGATAGATCTATATGCACATACATATGTATATAATATTTGAGAGAAAGAGAATCTCATGGTTTCTGTTTTTCTTGTTCTTAACTTCTATTCCTCTCAAGACCACAGTTTAATTCTTGTCCAGGGATAGTATGAGATAGCCCCATATTTCTTTATATAAGAAACTCTCCTTTCTACTTAAATAAATGCAAGTGGTCTTCTGTCACCTATAACCCACAGAAGCTCAGCATAGTTTAGATGATGACGTACTCACCTAACCACCTTTTTGCTATACCTGCATTTGCTCACCTCTGTGCAGAGGTTCCACAAATGTCTGTTTAATGGGCACATGATTGTCATTTGGCTCTAGACAAGGAACGAATGTGCTGTTCATGGCAGCAGAGGCACTCTGGTCTTCTTGGCCTTTCAAATAATCATTGTAAGTGGAAACACTTATTGAGAGTTCATTCTGTTGATCCTGCCCGTCTTTCATAGTTCTGCAAACAAGCCTCAGTCTCTCTGAACACCTCTGACTGTAGAGTCCTCAGTCCTTGGGTTTGTGCGGCACAAGGAATGAATGAATCCAGCGGGGTCCCTTGAGAGACAGCCTGCCGGCCTTTCCTGGTGGGTGCTATACCGACAGACAGAGGCCATTCCAACTTCATTGAGGAAGGTGACATATAAGTTGGAAGGGTGTACAGGCAGGGTAGTCTGGGTTTTCCGAGAACAGGCTTTGAGTCAAATAGCCTTAGACTATCACCCAAGCTCTACCCCGTGCTCCTGTGCTTCCTTAGGCATGTTATTTGACCTCTCTATGCCTCGGTTTCCTCGTCTGTAAAAT